CAGTTCGCAGCACTTCGGGAGAACCAGTTGTTAACTTTCTGAGCAGTTTGGCAAACTGGTTGTTGGAAGAAATCATTAGGTCAGAGAACTGGTTGTTAAATTACTTGAATCCCACCACTGATTAATACCTTCTCCACAGAGTTTGAGCTTCATGTAATGAATCCAGGGTATGATCACTTTTAGCCTGCTCAGTTGTAATTGAGATGGAATTCTGGGTGGATTTGTTCAATGATCTATTTATTTGTATCTTGGCTGTCCTTGGTATTCTTAGGAGTTTTTCTCCTAAGTGTCAGTAGTTTTTCAATCCTACTTCTTCAAAGTCCAACTTTTGCTTCCACAGAGTGTCACAGGGGATATCACTGCACGCACTACTCTGGCATGTTATGGCATCTGAATCTTTTCCAAGGTCTTTATCAGGGGTGGTATTGACCGGTTTGGACCGGTTCGGGCAAACGGTAGTGGCAATTTGAATTGGTTCGCCGAACCGGTAAATACCACTTCTGATTGGCCTCATCCACGCCCACCTGCTTGCCCAGTTGCCACTTGCCCTTTGTGGCTGCTCGCCCCACCCGCCCACCCCCCACCCTATATATGTTGCCTTTGCCCCATGGCCCAGCTAATCACCTCGCTAGCTCTGCTTAGCTCACCAAAGGTAAGCAATGCATGCTGCCCACTTGCCCTTCGTCTTGGGTCAGGAGCCGGGGCCCTGGGATGCACCATTCCCTGAGGCCCTGGAGCTACTGCCCACTCACCATCCACCTCAGCTGGGTCAGGTAATGCGCCATTCCCCAGCTGCGGCCTTGGCCCAGAGCCGCCTGCTTGCTGCCTACCTCACTCACCTACCTTCTGCCCACCTCACTCACCTACCTTCACACCTAGGGCGTGAACAGGCTTGGCTGCCTTTCACGCTGAGAAGCCTCCAGCTTCCAGATGTCATTTTCAGCTGCCTTCGGAGCAGCTCCGCTGTGATGCCGTCCCTCCAGCTGCTGCTGTTCTCCTGGCTGGTCTGGCTGTGAGCAGCACTGGCAGGCAATGGGATGCGTGGCCGCCGCCCTATTCCGGCTGTGCACATGCACCCCATTGCTTGCTGGTGCTGCTCATGGCCGGACCTGGCCAGGAGAACGGCAACAGCCAGAGGGACGGTGTCGCAGCAAAGCTGCTCAGAAGGCAGCCACTGGCCACAGTCTTTAAGGTATGAACCCAGGAGGGAGGGGGGGACCATAAAGGGACAGACTGCAGCTGGCGGCTGCCTTCTGAACAGCTCCACCGTGAAGGGAGGGAGAAAAGTTCGGCTTCTCTCTGCCACAGCATTCAACATGGCTGCTTCTCTCCTCCTTCTCACGATCATACACACAGAGCAAACATGAGAAGGAGGCAAGAAGCAGCCAGGTTGAATGCAAGAAGACTTGGCGGGCTGAACCTTTATGTCGGTTCTGTGGGTATGGCTTGGTGGGCATGGCTTGGTGGGTTGCCGTGAGTGATGTCAAATTGGCCATGCCCACTCAGTCACATGACCCCCATCAAGCCACGTCCACTAAACAACGCCCACGGAACTGGTAGGGGAAAAATTGAATATTACCACTGGTCTCCATGACTACTCCACTAAGTGCTAGTCTGCAACATTTTCCTTGACTACTTGTTCCTTTATGGATAATGGTTGCTTCTAAACAATAGAATCATCTACCATTTCAACGTCTTCACTGTCAATTTTAAGTTAGTGTTGTCCCACTTTTTCACTGTGCACCTTCCATTTTACCGTATTACTGGAGCTCGCAAATCCTTTGCATTTTCAGCTGTCAGAGTAATGTCACCAACATAGTGTAGGTCATTGATGCTTCTCTCTCCAGTCTTAATAGCAATAGCAATGGCACTTAGACTTATATAGTGCTTTTACAGCCCTCTCTAAGCAGTTTACAGAGTCACCATATTTCCCCCAATAATCTGAGTCCTCATTTTACCGACCTTGGAAGAATGGAAGGCTGAGTCAACCTTGAGCTGCTGAAATTTCAACTGCTGAATTGCAGCTAGCAGTCAGCTGAAGTAGCCTGCAGTGCTGCACTCTAACCACTGCGCCACCTCAGCTCTATCATACTCTATCATACTTAAAATCATACTGATCTTCCAGTTCAGGATCCCTTAAAACATAATAGCATATAGGTTGAACGCTAAATTAAATAATCTACTATTATCTACTAAATCTATGATTTCCTTTATCATTTTCTGTTCCACAGGGGGAACAAATTAATCCCTTGTTATGTTTAGCAGGAGCAAAATTTCTCTCAGGAGATTTTAATGATTTCATTATGAGCTTTTGTGGGCAGTAATACATTATCAGAAATTGGAAGAAAATACTAGAAGTTTTCCTGCTGATTGCTACAATAGTTGGTCTTCTTTGAGAATGTGTGCGTGTCTGAATATATGTAGATGTTTTGAATCAATTTTTTTTTGAAGAGAGTATTTTTAATACAAGAGGTTGGTTGTATGCATATTTGTTCTGTAAATTCACTTAGCTATTAATACTGGATTGCCTCAAAAGAAAAGATAAAAAGGCATTTATTTTGTTTCTTCTAACATTGTCAACCAGAAGACAGATGTCCTGATAGCTTTTTACATTAGCACAATAAAAGCCATTCCTTTTTCCTCAAATATCTTTATGTGAGTTCTCAAAATAAACAATAGACAATTATTTTTAAAAATTTCTTCACAGAACCAGTTGAACGGAAGGGGAACTATCCAATTCTCAGGCAGTTCCCAGCTTTATGGGTTATGTTCACAATACAAATCTTGAGATAATATTCTCCATAAAGAGCTCCAAAATGAGGTTCACTATACAATTATAATAAAATGCAGGCTATATTGGAATTGACAGTCCATTAGAAAGTTCTGTGATGTACTGAATTTATTTTAGACATTTATATACATCATGTTATGAATGTTAAGTGTTCATTGATGACTCAAGAGACCCAGGTTCATGTCCATCCTCCTCTGTGAAAGCTGACCTATCACTGTAGCTTCTGGGGCAATAAAAAGTAGAGGAAGAGAACAAGGAGGCAATGTATTTATTCCCTTTAGCTCCTAGACTTAGATGAAAGCTGTGAAGTTAATCAATCAAAATTGTTTCTAGAATTCACAGATATAATTCAGATTATTCATATCTGTCCAAAATGAAAAATAAAAATTATGTTAAATTATATTGTAATTGTCTCATTAAGTACAAATGTACTTCTCATTAGTAACTTAATCTGAATTCTGCCTATAATAATAACTTGAATACGCAGAATAAAAAGGAAACAAAAACTATGTAACAATAAAATCTAAAAATAATTAAAGGAGAGATCATATTAAAGTTATTTTATGCACAGAGGACATTTTCATGAAGGCTTTTTGACTTCTCTTTCATGAGAAGTAAAATTGAAACATATTGTATTCCAGCTTAATTTGAAAAGAAATATGTTGTTAATTTTAAATAGAGAGCCAGTATGGTGTAGTGTTAAAGGCACTGGGCTAAAAAGGGAGACTATTAATTCTAGACCTGTCTTAGGTACAAAACCAGTTGGATGACTATTGGCTCTCTCTCCCCCCACCCCGCAAGAAAAAAAAAACTAAGCCATTTATGAAAATATTGCCAAGGACACCGCAGGAATTTATCCAGCAGTTGCCAGGAGTCAGGGCTGATTAGAAAGCAAAAAAACAACCCCTCAACAAGAAACAATTCATTAAACAGATGACTCTCCTATTTTTATTTTACTGCATTTTGGAAGTGGATATTTGAAAGCATGGAGCTACAACTACATTTGGCTCCTTGCATCTATGTAATGTACAGTAACATTAGAGTCATATATTGTTTTTGTTTGTTTTTCAACATGGATGGAAGAGATGGGGATTTTGGATTAACTCCCAGGATTGTCAGTGAGCTTGGTCTTTGAGCACTGTGGTTAAGAATTAGGAAGACCTCAGGTTGGTGAGGAAGGTCTCAGATTAATTCCACTGGTGGATTGTTCTCACTGTTAGGAAATTTCTCCTTAGGTCTAGGTTGGTTCTCTCCTTTATTAGTTTCCATCAATTTTTTTCTTGTTTTGCCTTCTAGTGCTTTGGAAAATAGGTTGACCCCTCATCTTTGTGGCAGCCCCTCAATTATTGAAACACTATTATATAATTAAATACTATATAATAAATGATTCTATAAAAGGAAGAGAAAGATATCATATGAGAGGAATTATATGGGAGGAAAGAGAGGAAAAATGATAATATTCTTTGTAACTAAGAGCAAGAAATAGTTAACATCAAAAGATTCAAAAAATGGAGGGCAATTTGATAGTAATAGAGAAATTTCAGAGTTTAGGAATATTTACAAATAACTATGATAAAAATCTTATTGTTTTAGTTGAGTTGATTATAAAAATATTTTAAAGGCCATGTGTTTATAATATTCAGTGTTATAAGCTTCTATAAAGAAGCTTAAAATTACTAAAATGCTATTGGTCTTGATCCCATTTGCAGAGCAAGTTATTAATTTTCTTTTATGAAAAGAGTTGTGGAGATGTCTATATTCATCCTCCATATTCCTTTACCTCACAAAACAGTCTGATTCTAGGCTATGCAACTATATATGTGTAACGAATAACTAATATTAATAGTGTATGGAGTTATTTTAATAAGGATAGTCTGAGCCCTAAAGCCTTTAAGAGGACAATACTGCTTCAGTATTCACTCAGTCAATAAAGGGAGATGAATTAGAAACACTATACTGTATGGCCACTCATATGCCATCATAATTACCCTACATTTGAACAGCCATTTGAAATTTATGCAAAGTTGCATGTTGTTCTGTTTTACTACTAATTTGGATAATATTTGACCTCACCTGTTAATTGCCATGCAATTAACAGTTTTTTCTTTTAAAAAGCTTAATCTTCAAAAGCCATTTATTTGATGAATAGTTTTGTTTGATCTACTGAGTCACCTCCCCACTCCAGTTTTTCGGCTCTCTCCTTTGCCAGGTGACCAGCTGAATTCTGAAGAGAAGAAGAAACGAAAGCAGAGGCGAAACAGGACCACCTTCAACAGCAGCCAGCTTCAGGCCCTGGAGAGAGTCTTTGAGCGGACACATTACCCAGATGCTTTTGTCCGAGAAGACCTTGCACGCAGGGTCAACCTCACCGAGGCTCGGGTCCAGGTAATGAATCCAGCACCCCAAAGAACAGACCAGATGACTTACACTTCTTATTCCATCTTTTTTTTTAAAAAAAAAGAAAAACAAAAAACAAAGAGGTAGACATATTATCCTTTCTTCCAACCCACTTTAGAAGTTTTTGTTTAAAAAATGGACCCATCTTTCTATTTATGTTGTTTTAAAGTGTATTTTGATTTGTATATGGAATGTATATGGAAACAAACAAACAAAAAGAACAATGTGTGTAATAATCAATTGCTATATTGTGGATATAGATAGTTGCAAGATACTTATCTGCCATAAGGTGGGAGAAAGAGGCTGTCCTTTAGTTTTATCCCTGCATCCTCATGCAGTGGAACAGCTGTTCCAAAATTTGGTTTTGTCTGATAAGGGACAAGAGTAGCATTTGGATCACATTTTTGCCACTCCAATAAATTAAAGCCATTCAAATTAAAATATTAACTATTTTAGCAGGTTGTTACAATATGAATATTTGAAATTTAATACTTGAACATTTATAACAGTTTCATATATAAAAATAATTTCACTAATTATTTTTAAGCTAAAATGTTTTGTTTAAATACTTTTTTTCTTTAATTATGAAGACCAATGTTTCTGTAGCTTGTCTTATTGTATACCAAGTTGTTGACTTAAATGTATTCTGAGCTCCAGATTTTGGCAATTTTCAAGGAGTAAGGATAAAATACAAGTAGTCCTTGATTTACAACTGTTCATTTAGGGACCACTCAGAGTTACAACAGTACTGAAAAAAGTGATTTATGACCATTTATCACACTTGTGACTGTTGCAGTATCCCCATGGTCACATGATCAAAGTTGAGATGATTGACAACTGTATCCCAAGGTAATGTGATCACCTTTTGTGAACTTCTGAGAAGTAAAGTCAATGGGGAAGCCAGATACACTTAAGAAAAGTGTCACTAACTTAACAATTGTAACAATTGACTTAAGAGTGGCAAGAAAAGTTGGAAAATGGGGTAAAATTCACTTAATAAATGTTTCACTTGGCAACATAAATTTTGGGCTCAATTGTGATTGTAAGTTGAGGACTACCTGTAAGTGGGTAAGTATTTGATTAGGGCACCAGCCCTAGACAAATTAAAACTATTCCTTCATCTTTCTATATGTTTTTCTGTCATAAACTTACAACCTTAAAAGCTAGAAACCTCCCATTTTTAAATTTCTAAAACTAAGTCTAGGTTATTCTGTATTCTCATCATTATATGAGCAAAAGTACTGGAAAATATTGTCTTAACACAGCAGTCCCCAACCTTTTGGGCACCAGGGACTGGTTCTGTGGAGAATGAATCTCGTCCAGCATATACCATACTTGGGGGATGCTTCCTATTATATTATTAAATATATGTTCAACAGAATCAATTAAAGCAGTTCAGTGTGGGATTCTATGAATAAATATCCTGGACATAATCACTGTAGGTTTCCTGTGATTTCAATAAGCCATGGTAAATAATTCCTGTAAAACCTAAAGAGTTTTGTGTTTTGTTTGGGTTGGATTGTGCCCAAAGTGTTTGTCCCAAGGAACTAGCACTATCCATATTTTTGCAGAATATCTTTCTGCAGTTGATTTTAATCTATAAAATACCACAACAGGGAAAAATTATTCGATTCTAGAAGGAGTTACAAACTTTCTTTGCTCTAACAATCTGAAGAAATTGGGAATGAGATGTCAAAATTTATGTTTGTGTTTCTAACTAAATTTACAGCATAGGCATGTTGTAAGCCAAGAAAGGCTTCCAAAAAAAATCTTTCAAAGCAGTGGACTTTACTGAAGTTTTCAGAGGGATGCCCAATCTATTTTTAAGTTTAGAAACATATGCTCATTGCATTCACTAAGGTGATTGCTAGAAGCCTCCCCATTATTTTGAAGAGTAAGGGATATGGATTGTGAACAATTGTAGATATGGTATTCATCCTGACCCACTTCTAGCATTTCGCTGATAATTATATCAGTCCAATAGATGAGATAGTTAGGGAGCATCTCCTCAGCAGGGCAAGCCTTTTCTCCTTATTACAGTAACTCCTGCTTGCCAAGTAGAGTACCTACCATTGACTAAATGCTGCCATTGACTAAACTAGCTCCTAGCTTGCCTTTTATCCCATAGATTTATTTATTAATTAAATGTATATGCTGCCAATCTCACTATTCAAACTTTTTACTTTTTAAGAAGTAGAAACAATAACTTCCTAATAGCTTATATACAATAACTTAATAGCTTCTTAAATGCAGTGGGAAAGGTGGTAACTAAGTACAAAAACATTTCTAAAACCTAGAAAACTGATGTGGATATGAATAACCTTATTTCATTAGATTTGATGATATATCCAAAGGATTTTCCTCATACGAGGAACCAGGCAAGCCTAGAGGAATGTCAAGCAGTGGCTCATTGTCAGTCCTTTTCTTTCATTTCTCCCTTTCCAAAGGCATCTAGTCAAAGTTTTAGGTCTGGCTCCTTGCTTGAATGAGTGGAAGAGTTTCCAAAATTTACTGGGAGTTATTAACTTCCCTAATAAACACAAGATGTTTTCCTTGAAGAAAGGAATTCAAGCCAGAATCCAGTTGTGAAACATTCTACACTGGAGAGCAGCATCCTGCTCACCACAATGGATCATAAAAATAAAGGAGGAGGAGGAGGAGGAGGAGGAGGAGGAGGAGGAGGAGGAGGAGGAGGAGGAGGAGGAGAAGGAGAAGGAGAAGGAGAAGGAGAAGGAGAAGAATTTTGCAGCCCTAAAAAACCCTTACTAGATCCTTTTAATTTTTTCAAAGTAGGTCATTGAAAATTTTCAGGATAGCACCTTCCTTCTTTCATACTTGCTTAACTTGAGAGTGAAAGTATTCTCCTCATCTCTGAGGAGAAATGGGCCATATTTATTAAATAGTTTATATAGTTTAGTAGCTTATTTATTTTTTTATTAAATAAATATTTAATATTTATTGCATATTTATTAACATGTAATGATTACATTAAGCCCTATGGGTGTATGAAAAAATAAGTTACACATTTCTTAAAGATCATAATCTCTGGTTAGATAAACTGAAATGGTGGTATAGTTGTTTCATTTTAACTCTTGACCCAATATTTTATCAGTGCTCTCCTTTTAGGATGATGGAATGTATTCATTCCTTTATTTTTATAATTTGTATTCATTTCCTTTATTATAACCACATTCCTGAAAATGTGGTTAGCTAGCCCAGCTCCTTTTGAATTTTTTGAATTTATGTTCCCTGGATCCTACTTTGACATCCTCACTGAACCAAAAACATCCCCTTCTGGCCAATAAAAACACAGTAACTATGCGAATTGAAACTTCTTATGCTGTGTTGACTGGAGCAGTAAGGGATCTATTTTGATTTTGATGAAGAAGATTGCAATGCCTATTTTCATGCCACAGTATCTGATACCTAGTTCTGGTGTGCTTCTCTTCCTAGGTGTGGTTTCAGAACAGGCGGGCAAAGTTTCGCAGGAATGAGCGAGCAATGCTGGCCAACAAAAATGCATCCCTCCTTAAATCTTACTCAGGTGATGTAACTGCAGTGGAGCAACCAATTGTACCTCGCCCAGCACCAAGAGCCACTGACTATCTCTCCTGGGGAACTGCCTCTCCTTACAGGTGACTATATATCTTGTACCCCTGTTGGTTGCCTCTGATTCACTGCAGACACCTGTCATTCCTTCCAGGTGGGTGACAAAGCCTAATAAATTTTATGTATCCTGAGGCATGTATGTCCAAATAAAGAGAATGTTCAAATAAGGGGAAACCTAGATAAGGACCGTAGAAGCCTATCTCAGTTATGAACTGAATGAGAGCAATTTCCAATGCCCTCAGCCAATTAACGTTTGCAAAATTCTTTGGGAAAAGCTAGTTTGGCAAGCTAGTTTCAAAACAAAAACGTGTAGATTATAGTCTAAAATAGGCTACATTGAGAATTTACACTCTTTCTGGCCTGGAGAATTTACACTCTTTCTGGCCTGGACACCATGCATAAGTGGAAAGAGCTATTGAAAAATAGAAAAAGAGGGTTTAATAGAGTTTGGCAGCCTCTTCTGTAAAAACAAAGAAGATAAGAAAAGAAAGTGATTGAGTAATGGGACACACACTGGACTCACTTGAATTCCATTGTGACCCTTGTTTACTTGGTTTAAATAGCTAACAGAATATATATATATATATATATATATATATATATATATATATATATATATTCAGAACTAATGATTCTCTTTATAAAGCAAAATATTGTAGCAAGACCCCTCTCCCGAATGGTACATAGATGATGACTTATTTGATTTCAGTGATTTGATTCGATTTGATATTTAAGTTTATTGCACCTTTATTTTTATAAATAATTCAAGGTGGCAAATGTAATAGATATATTACTTCTCCTTCTTCTTAGTGTTGTTTCCTTAAAACAAGAATCCTGTGAGATAGGTTTAGCCGAGAGAGAGTGAAGTCTAGCCTAAAGTCACCCAACAGGTTTTCATGCTTAAAGCAGGACTACAATTCACAATCTCCTGGTTGCTAGCCTTGTACCTTTACCACTAGAACAAACTGACTCCCAATTATGCTATCATATTCGATTCTAAGCCATAAAACATAATTCAGAATCCGCAGCAGCTGAATTCGCACACCACACTGTACTGTATAGTTTGGCTTAGCATGTTAAACAAATACAGAAAGAGATACCCATATGGGGCAAAACAGTCAAAAGCTGAAAACTACAATGTTTTTTCAAGCTAAGAATCGTACTTAGATGCCGAGCAATGTTTTAAGGAGGAGGTAGGGCCAGGACGTCAATAAAGTGTGATCGGTTTAAAATTAACCAAATACATTTGATTATATCCTTGATTATTCTTCAACCTCTTCAGAGGGCCAATTGTTCAACAAAATGAATTTTAATGTGGAGAAAAGCAAAGTTTTACATTTAGGCAGGAAAAATCAAAGGTATAAGTACAGATTAGGTGAGACCTGGCTCAAAAACAGTAACTGTGAGAGGGACCTTGGAGTCCTAGTGGATGATCACTTGACTATGGGCCAGCAGTGTGCAGCAGCAGCCAAAAAAGCTAATACAATCCTGGGTTGTATAAATGGAGGCATAGAATCAAGATCACATGAAACCACTTTATAAGACCCTAGTAAGACCAGACCTGAAATACTGCAACCAATTTTGGTCACCATACTACAAAAAAGATGTTGAGACTTTGGAAAAAGTTCAGAAAAGAGCAACTAAGATGACCAAAGGCCTGGAGACTAAAATATAAAGAACAGCTGCAGGATTTGGGTTTGGCTAGTCTAAGGAAAGGAAGAATCAGGGGCAACATGTTAGCAGTATTCCAGTATTTGAATGGATGCCACAAAGAAAAGGGGGTCAAATTTTTATCCAAAGCACCAGATGGCAGGACAAGAAACAATGGTTGGAAACTAATCAAAGAGAGAAGCAACCTGGAATTAAGGAGAACCTTCCTAACAGTGAGGACAATTAACAATGAACAGCCTGTCTTTGGAAATTCTGGGTGCTCCATCATTGGAAGTTTTTAAGAAGAGACTAGACAGTCATTTATCTGAAATAGTATAGATTCTCCTGCTTGAGCAAGGGACTGGACTAGAAGACCTCCAAGGTCCCTTCCAGCTCTATTCTATTCTGTTCTAAACCTGATATTGGGACCCTCTTGAAGCCAAGCATGGCCCTGTCCCAGTATACCTACTTCTATCGTACACCACTGCTTTCATATTTTACTGATTCTTCTTAAAACGTTGACAATATCCTCCCTTTTGGAAGTTGGTTGGCTGATCAGTCTGTAAAGCGCTGAATGGTAGAGAATCAGCCCTCCAGATACACAAGCCTAGTCTTGTTGCTACATACAGCCTTACTCAATTTATCTCCCTGTAAGGCATGCCTGACCTGTACCCTGAGGGTGGAAGGAAAAGGATGTTGGGTAAAAACCATCCTGAGCCAAATGTTGCTCTCAGCCTCAGAAGTAGGAGTGCAACTCAGCTCTCCTTTCTGTGGTAACTGCTGACAGTGGCCATTTCTCTGGAATTTCTATTGGACAGGCTGCTGTGTCATCTTTTTTTTCATCTGTGCAGATCCTTCCTAATTTAGTCCAAGCAATTAAGGATCAAACCCTGGACATGATGATACTGCAGTGCTATGCAGCCAATATGACCAAGTGATGCTGGCACTTCTCAGTTCCATTTGGACAGCAATGCTTTGTGTGCTCCAGTCTGAGCCACAGACACCTATTCTTCACTTTTTCATTAATCTCTGAAAAATGGTTTGGTGCATCTTTGTCATTTTGACTCTACAATGACTCATTACATCTCACCTGGCAAGCTGCCCTTTTAATTACTGACAAATTATGAGAAAAGGTCATGTTTTCACAGTAATTGGCTCCTGTGCCCAAAGGAAGAACTGTTCCCAGGCCTAATCACTGTTGTTTTCTTCTCTTATACCATTGGCAGCTCTTTTGCCTGCCACCCTCAAGGATCATCCTTTGAAAGTATTTTTTTTCCAAAGGGAGAAAAAAGAAGAAGAAAAAAACGAAAGCAAACAGTATTTCGCAAAACTCATGGGAAATGCCCTTGGCTAAACTCTGTATAACAAAGTAAAACAAACAAAAATAAATGTGGACCATGTTTTTGCTTGGTATGTAATTTTTTTTTAAATTTAAATTTTATTTTGATTGCCAGTAAGCCTGAGAAAAGCAAGGCAGAACCCAAAGACTGATTGATCTGGCAAACAAACAGTAATGGGGTTTAAACCACTGGGAATATTTCCAGCGCCAGACTCTTGGAAATGAATGGGTTTATTTGAGGAACTTGGTAAACCTAAAGGAGTTAGTTCATTACTCTTCAAAGAATTGGGTACTGAACCACTGGAACAAACTTGGTGCACCAGTTCTCAGAAGTGTTCATTACAGATGCCACTGGTCAATGCCTGATTAAAATTAAGCTGTCAAACTCAAAACAGATTTCCAGGGAACTCACAAATAGACAGCACACCAACAGCACACACACTGAGTAGATACAGAAAGCAAAATGTAGCTTACTGAAGATAGTTGGAAATAGTTTCCAAAAAAAGAAAAAGAAAAAAAATCAGAATATTCTTTTGACTACTTTTAATTTAGCTCTGTGGGTTTTTAAAACATTGACCACTACTTTTACTGTACTCATGTCAGTGAGACTTTTGTGAATCAGAAGGGCCTATGAGTTCTACTCAGATCTTTTCTTCAGAAACTTTTGCCTGGTGGTGATCCAGACTCTGGAATGGAGGGATCCAAGGGAATTCTGCATTCCTGATTGTAGCAGGATTAGCAGCCCTATAAAAGTTTCAATTTATACTTTGTAGGATTTGATTCCTAGATTCTTCCTCCAGTGATAAATCTAATCTGTAGACAAAAATGTATAAGACTCTGGAGCCTGAATGAAATCATAAGAGCCACAGATATGAAAAATACCCATGACTAAAAAGATCAAAGTGCTATCAGACGGTGGTCCCATTTATTTTGTGCCCTGGTTAAACATGTGCAAATTCATTTATCCTTTGCATAATCCATTTATGTTCCTTTTTAATGCTACTTATCAAAAATTCTGACATATGCACTGAAGTAAATAAACTTGCTTTTAGAGGAATAGTAAACATTGATATGCTTAGGAAGTATGCCCATAGAAATGAATTGTCTGTAAATTAAAATATATATTAATCCCCTCGTTCGACATTGGAATATGCATTGTGATAAGAATGGTAGTTCCTTTGATACTCTGATTTGGGATGTAGAAGCAGTTCTTCCAAACTAAATGTGTGTTTGCTTGCTAAGCAAGAGAACCTTGACAAACTGAATTCACCTGTTTAAGGATTAGATGGTTATTAATATCTTGTATGTGTACAATATGGATAACGGCTCTTCCTAAGACTAGCAGTGTCTCTCCAGCTGGTGCTCTACAGACAGCTTGGATTTACAATTCCCAGAATTCCCAACTGGCATGACTGCACAGTTCCAATTTATCTGCAGGGCACCAGATTATGGATGTCTGTACCAAATTATCAGTCTTTTCCACAATCTAGATTTAGATCTGGAATGGTTCCTATTCCAGTTGTTCCTAATTCAGAGTAGTAAACATAATATGAAGGTCTGATATATGAAAGGATATTTTGTTTCCATTACAAATGTTGTTGTTGGGTTGTAATTATTTTAGGATCAGGATGCAATTATATGTACACAGGGAATGCTAACTTTTTTTTTTAATGCATTCAATTTAAATCAGTTTGGTTTTCTTATTGCCCCACCCTTTTTTTTTTTGAGCCATAGCTCTGGCACATCACTCCAAGATCAGTAGTACTCTTGAAAATTAAGATTGGTGGAATACAGTTGCATAATATGGCTGTAAATGTTTGACTCCAAGCTTTTATCCCTCCACTTTTCTTAGCCACGTCATTTGCAAATGCCATGTAAAGGTTTAACTGCTAAAAATCAAACTGCATTGTAAGACTTGGGCAGGCTAGCTAGCTATTTTTCTGGATATTTGACATCATCAGGTGACCTGAATGCACATGAATTGTAGAATCAAAATATGATGTGTTGTTGTTGTTGTTTTTCCCTCCTTCCCCTCTTTTTTTTCTGCCTCCCAGCACTGCCATGGCTTCTTATTCTGCTTCCTGTACCAATGCCAGCCCAGCTCAGGGCATGAATATGGCTAACAGCATTGCCAATCTGAGACTGAAGGCAAAGGAATATAGTTTACAGAGGAACCAGGTGCCAACCGTAAATTAGAGAGCAGCAACCTGTAAGAACAGCCCAAATCTAGAAAGAAAAGTCCCTGCCTGGGGCAACTGTCCTGCTTTGCCATTTGTTGAGACCTAGAAAGCCCACCAACCCAAGCTAAAGCATTGGGGATAAAAGCAGGATCTGAATGAATGGAAAACAGTTTCCAACATGATGCTACAAATACAAATTCAAGTACAAATACAAATAACCCCACAATATTGCCAAAGTGCCAAGAAATCTCTTCCAAGAACTTTTTCGGTGAAGGATACAAGGTTTGAATTAATCCTAGGAATGACTGCAAATCCAAAGATCCTGCACTTGACTCTTCTGTGTCCCCCATTTGACTTCTTTGTTTGCCCCTCACCTCTTTTATTTGAACCTTCTAAAATACTCTTAAATCTTATGCCAAAGATCCTCATGGTCATTGATGCTCTGATCCATTCAAAGCACAAGGGATCCCAACTGATGTTGTGACCACCAGCATATGCCAGACGCCTTAGCATCTAAACTTTTATGTCTATTGGCTAGAATCTCGCCTTCTCTTAGCTGTTTGAAGTCAATTTTGATTATAGATAAGTGTGTCTTACTGTTTATTCTGCCACAACCTCTTTGATATTGTTTTGCTGGTTTCCAAAGAATCACTAAATATAAAATTACGTAATTTTGAACCAATTTCTGCCAATATAGGAGTGTAAAAAATTTTCAAATCACATAGAACACTTCATCGTGGTGAAAATGTATAAGAATGTATTTGAGATATTACTCTGTGGAATTGAAAAGCTGGTACAAACCTACAAATCTTGGAGAAACCCAAAGAGCAGAATCCAGATGTGTAGGTACTATAAATGAAAGTTAATTTCCAATACAAAAATCAGAGGCCTTAATCTAATACAGAGATAGGCGTGCTTAACCCTATTGTATTGGACTAAGTCTCCACATACTTTCTTTGCTACTTGTTTTGTTTCATGCCACACTCAACAGTGGTGCCTGAAATCATTTGATTTATATATACTGTATATATTTATATATATAAGATATACATACAAGCTTTGTGAGTTTTCCTTTTTTTTATTAAACAAATAAAATGAACTGAAAGCGTTCTGGTTGTAAGTGGATCCTGTAGAATTTCTAAAGTAATCAATTTCTGCTGTGTTGTGCTGTGGAAGACAACTGTCAGGAGTAAAGTATGAATCCCTCAGATGGATCATGGAATATGACAGCCTAATAGAGCTGGAAACAATGCACTGGTCTGCAATATTCTTTCTGCCTAGTTAAAAAATAAAGAACATAAGTATACAGATAATGCTTTTCTCCCTTTCCATGAGCTGGCTGATCTAGATGTCTTTTGCTTAAGAAGTATTAAAGAAGCTCCAGACTGGTGAAAGAATTCAGAAAAGAACCACCCAGAGTTATTTGCTGAGATAGGTGGCTATAAAAATCAATCAATCCCTAGCATTTACCACTAGCACTTAGATTTATATACCACTTCACAGTACTTTACAGCCCTCTCTAAGCAGTTTACATAGTCAGCATATTGCCCCCAATAATCTGGGTCCTCATTTTACCAACCTCAGAAGGATGGAAGGCTGAGTCAACCTTGAGCTGGTGGGAATTTAATTCTGGCAGTCAGCAAAATTAGCCTACAGTACCACTGTGCCACCATGGCTCTATCACAAAACTTTCCAGCTAGATTGCTCATGTTTACATTTAATTAATCCCCCCCCCCAAAAAACCCCTAACAGCTTGCATGATGTAATGGACATATCTTGTTATTTCAACTTGAAATTTGCAGGAGCAGAAGCAGAAGACATTGAACTAAGGAAAGTGTTACCGCTATCATTACCCATACCATCATCTATTGGCTGCTCTGTCTTCTCTGTCTTTTACATTCCCCTCCCCTGTATGCTCACAGTTTTGAGGTGATTGCTATAGGTACCAGGCTTGAGGCAATCAGTCTAGATTGCTATTGATCATGCCTTTAGCTTTACAAGGATTCAGCTGTGACAAAATTTGACTGAAGTGGATTTAGATCTACCAGGTTTCTGGAGGCCCACCAACTTGGCTTGAAGGCCTGTACTGACACCTAGCAGACTCTTCTCTTGATTGGCCAGGTTCCACTTTCACCCTCCTAAGTATCACATGTTCGACCTGATGAAATCTGGCATCTTGGCCAATAGTGCTCAAAATGGTGGAGTTGGAAGATGATGGAGCAACAACTTTGAGGATGCATCATTTTTGTCTGATTTGTATTTCTTGTGGGATGAAATGTGAAAATCAGCTGCACTGTGTGTGTACAGCTGATCTTCAAAATAACTGAAAAGGAACAGTCTTTTTACTTTCCCATAGCCATTGGAGATCAGTCTCCATGAACTGTTCTAAAAATCCAAGCCTAGAATGAGAACATGAAACAGGAAATAGAAGAAGTGCTGACTGAGCATATCACAATTCTTAGTTCTCTGGAATCAATATCCTACAGTTTTGTGACATTTTACAGATATATTATGGCATGAGCATTTTTGGACCATACTCTACTTAATCAGGGGATCCTTCAAATCCAAAGAAGAAATGGGCTTCTTTTCAATTGGAACAGTGCAGATAATTGATAACTGATGATTGAAGGGTCAACTTGGAACCTGTCTCTGCTCCACTGAGTAGTCCCAGTTACATGGGAATTAACTGAGAACAGAATTGTCCTACTACTGAAAAACTCTCCCAACAGATAGTCAATTATTCTACATTAAAATATAAAAAATACTAAGAATCACAAATTTGTATTTTAAATTTTTAGTATACAATGGAAAATTCCTTAGAATAAAATGACAGGTGAGACATCTTTTTGATATTATACAGGCTAATCTAAATTTAGAATAGGGAAACAGTATTGACATAGTTAATGGTCCCATACAATTTCTTCCCCTAGAAATTCCCAGGTTCTACATTTTATAAATTTGATCATTTAAATTAATCAGTACATGCTTTCCCTTGGATGCTCATAATTTAGAAATTAGCTGTTTGTTTATAGAACATAATATCCAGAATGCTAATTATTTTACGACAATTAAAGAGAAATCTATTCTAACCTTACATCACATCAATTCATTACCCTGTTTTTTAAATTAATTTGGTCAGTTACCATTTTTATTTATATTACATTTGAATAAAAACAACATGGGAAAAGAAAAATGTGTAATTAAATAGTTCTCAATAGTTACAATCTGCAAGCCTATATCCATTCCAAACAACATTAGTCTTTGGAATCTATCCTTCCAACTGTAATGTGGGAAAGAGTTCAGAATAAAAAGTTTTGTTTATATTCAATGTATTAAAAAGAAATCACATGTCTCAATTAGGCTCCCCTTGATTTCTTCTATGGACAACCTATTTGGCAAATTCTTTATTAACACAAAAAAGCCACACACTGGAATGCTGGGAAGTTGGCTGATTTCCAATTGTTCATCATCTTCATCTACTGCCAATAAGAATATTAAACTTTCTCTATTCTACAAAAAATCATGTTATTTTCATCCAATCAGTTAAACATTTTTAGAAAGACTAGATTTTATTTTATTATGTTTAAGGGAAGAAGACTGACATCAAACTACTAATTTCAAAATGTTTTCCTTTACCTTGGTTTGTAGCAGTTTGGCCAGGGAAATAAACCATATAGAAGTCCACTGAGTATTAATAAATATTATCAGTAAACATTCCCGGATCTGTTCTCCAGGTAAGTTTCAAGCCATTAATATAAATATATTTTACACATATCTGTTACTGCAATCTTTTTGAGGATCCAAGGATAATAGATCTGATAATAGACTTGAATGTAGACTATAGATTATAACTTGAAGTTATAAAATATTTTCATTTTCTTTGATTTCATTTTCTTTGAGTTTTCATTTCCCTTTGCATAGATAATGACTACAAAAACATTAAACTTATTTCAGTCGGAACCAAGGTAGCACAAGGAAATGTTGAACGGTGATCAAAAGTTCTATTCCAATACAGTATGGAATACAGTATGGAATAAATTTAGCAATACAGTATGGAATAAATCTCCAACTTCACTTATATCTTTTTTATTTCATCCCTTCAACTTGAATTATTTGATCTTTGTTCAAAAACAAGGACTTCAGTAAAATATGGCAAATAAACCAGGGTAGGGGTTAAAATATTTGTTCCACATCCTCCAACCAAAGATGATTTTATAAAACAAGTTAGCAATTGACAGTACCTTTTTTGAATGATCTGAGCAAAGATGCTTCCACAAAATTAAGCAGTTTTCTAGCTCCACAAAAAAAACACAGAACTTTTAATTATAATTTGTATTGCTAATTATGCATTATATTATGTATATGTACTAATTATAAATGCTAATTAGGAGAGACTAGTCACCATTAAATATGATTGATCCTATCTTAGAAAATTTATACTACAATTTATACTACAATCATATCAAATGTCAGCCATTTATTGCCACTTTTGAATATGAGGAGGCAACAGAGATTCTAGATCATTTTTTGAGACTGGAATACAAACCTAGGGCTAGGCAGTGCCTTCCATACTGAAGCCAAAGTTGCTTCTGGTACAAAAGTTGCAAAATGTTCTACACTATAACCTTTCAGGTTGTAATTACTAAATATTTAATATATGGATGAATAACAATAAAACTTTGACAAGAAAACATATTTCTTACTAATAATTGTATGATCAAAGAAAATAAAGAATAAAATTAAATGAGAGCAAAGTGTTACACCATTTGCAATTCTCAGCCCTCTCTCATTTTAATTCATCTGATTTGCTCTTTTTTAATTATTTCTATTCCTCTTTTTATGAACTGATTTTCCTAACTGTCCCCAAATCTACCCACCTTCTGGCTAATTCCTGATGTTCAATCATGTCAGATTTGGTGGTGGAACACTACTTAGCCACCATAAACTTGATCAATGTGTCTTAGAGTGCATTCTGTCCTTCGTTCTAGAACAGGTTCTACTGTTTATTTTGAACAAGAAAAGTACAAATTTTTATTAATAGTTTCAGTACTGGAGGATGTCTTGGAGAGGTGATATTCAAAGACAAGATGATGACTGTGAAGTTGTGGCCCTTTTTTACATGCAGCTTGTGTTAAAAGGGATTTTTTTCCCCACTAGTCCCTATCTTCCCTCCTCTCATGGACACCCATACTTGAATACTGCAGACTTATAATATGGAGAAGCCAGCTGGGAATGTTGGAAGTTGCTTCAGCAAGTCTTCCCCACCCTGCAACCTTCCCTGCTCCTCTGCGCTCATGTCACAAAGGTATGTGCACTCCTGCATACCTTTCCCAAACTGCATAGCAGCTCTTACATACCCCCACATCAGGGGTGAAATCCAGCAGGTTCTGACAGGTTCTGGAGAACCGATAGTGGAAATTTTGACCAGTTCAGAGAACCGGCAAATACCACCTCTGGCTGGTCCCAGAGTGGGGTGGGAATGGAGATTTTGCAATATCTTTCCCCCAGGAGTGGGGAGGGAATGGGGATTTTGCAGTACCCTTTCCCTGCCATATCCACCCAGCCATACCCACCAAGCCACACCATGACCACCAAGCCACGCCCACAGAACCAGTAGTAAAAAAATTGAATTCCACCACTGCTCCACGTCACCTTCCCGATCTGCATCAAACCTCTGCTTGTCCTCCTTGACCCATGCAGCACCTCTTGCTCAATCCCATGAAACCCATGCACCCTTCCTGATTCATGCTGAATTCCTGTGCACTGTTCCTGACCTGCGCCACACTCTTGTGCATTCCCCCCAACTTCTGTGGCACTTCTTGCACATTCCCATGCACCCTTCCCAAACTGCATAGCATCTGAACCAGTGTGGCACCTCTTGTGAACCTCGGTGCACTCTTCCTGGCTCACAATGCATTCTTATACATCTTTCCCAACCCCTGCACACCCGTCCCAACCCATGTCTCACTCCTATGCGCTTTCCCTGATCCGTAGGGCATTTCTGGTGCATTTCTGCACACCCTTGCAAATCCTTCCCAACTCACACTGTATACCCATATGCCTGTCCTGATTTGTACAGCAACTCCCACATACACCCATGCACACTCAT